ATTGCTCTTAACTAACGTAACCACTTATTGACTCTTTTTTTCCTTTTTTCGTTATTTCAATTCCAAAACAGAGGTGAAAATGGACGGATGGCCTGCCTATGAACCTGTAGCTAAATATCTGGAAACTTCAGAGAAAAGAAGGCTTCTTTTGTTGATTGGTATGGTGACAACTATGTATCAGTTATTGAGAAGTCGTAGTATACGTACTTATTTACTTCCTTCGTTACTTATCGATACTTACTGACTTACTTACTTACTTAATTGCTGATTTGCTTGCTTGCTTACTTGCCTACCTATAATCACGCGTACATACTGAATTACTTATTTCTTGTTGTCAGATTCATTTTTAGTTTAATATTCATTTAACAGGGGCGTCTGGTGTAGGAAGAAACGAACTGAAGAAGATGCTTCTCGCTAGCAACCCAGATAAATTTGTTACAACAGTTCCTCGTAAGATACTATCCAAAAATTGCTAACTTTATTTCAGTTCTACGTAGCGTTTGATGATGTTGCAGTTAATTTCACTCCTGAAACTTAGTCACCTCTCACAATTGAAAATGACGGTCGTTTCCGTTATATTTCAGTCGTCTTTTAAAAGACGACTCGAAGGGGTTTTTTTGGTCGACAAAAGTATACATTGCTAGGGCTTGTGAATTCTTCCTCCACGAAATCGTTACTGTCTACCCTCTTTGAAGACGGACAGCTTTTAGACTGGCACTGTGTGCCCTTCTAAGAGAGATGTCCGTCTTATAGCGAGTCCACTAAAAGGAGTAAAGAAAGGCAGAGAGACCAACTCTAGGTGTCCGTTTTAGCGAGGTGTCCATCTTATAGAGGTGTCCGTTGAGAGAGATTTGACTGTATGATCAACTCCCTCTAAGACGGACACCTTTGGGACCGGCACTGTGTGTCCGTCTTACGAGAGAGTCAACTAAAAGGAGTAAAGAAAGGCAAAGACCAACTCTTGGTGTCCGTTTTAGCGAGGTGTCCATCTTATAGAGGTGTCCGTTAAGAGAGAATTGACCGTATGATCAACTCTCTCTAAGACGGATCCCTTTGGCACCGGCACTGTGTGTCCTTCCAAGAGAGGTGTCCGTCTTATTGAGAGTCAACTGAAAGAAGTAAAGAAAGGCAGGAACCAACTCTAGGTGTCCGTTTTAGCGAGGTGTCCATCTTATATAGAGGTGTCTGTTAATAGATAGTTGATTGTATAATCGACTCCCTTTAAGATGGACACCCGTGGCACCGGCACTATTTGTCGGTCTTATAGAGAGTCAAATAAAGAGAGGAAACAAAGGCAGGTCCAGCTCTTGGTGGCCGTTTTAGCGAGGTGTCCATCTTATAGAGGTGTCTGTTAAGAGAGAATTGACTGTATAATCAACTCTCTCTAAGACGGACACCTTTGGCACCGGCACTGTGTGTCCTTCTAAGAGAGGTGTCCGTCTTAAAGAAGTAAAGGAAGGCAGGGACCAACTCTAGGTGTCCGTTTTCGCAAGGTGTCCATCTTATAGAGGTGTTCATTAAGAGATAGTTGACGGTACTCCGTTGTGTTAAATTTTATGCGCTTTCAGATACTTCAAGACATATGAGGAGTTATGAAACGGATGGCAGGGAATATTTCTTTGTATCGCGCCAGACAATGGAGACTTTCATATCAAAGAAAAAATTCATCGAGTTTGGTGAATACAAAGGTTGCTTATATGGCACGTCAAAGGACTCCATAAAACGAGCTCTAAAAACTGGCAAAACTTGCGTTCTTAAAGTTCAGCCCGAGGTAAGTGCATGTGTTAGCGACGTATTCTGGTAAAAAAGGATTAATTTAGGTTTCTGGGAAACTGCCAACCTACCCCTCCCCTAAGCCAACATTAACACTTACTTCCCACTTAGGGCAAAATGTGACGTGGGGTAGGGGTAGGTGGGCAGCCTCTTCAGCAGTACTTTTGCATGTCAATTATTCATCTTTAACATGGTTAGTATTTTACGAAAGATAAGAAAGTGGTCTTCGATATGAATTTTAGGGTTTGAAGTCTAAGGCTTAGTAAGGTAAATTGTCTAAATTTACTTCAAGAAAAAAAGACTCCGCAACGCGTTAGTTCGCCGCATCAGCGAAGAAGCCATTGACTGAGTTTTGTTCGGGCAAAAAGATAGCCTGAGTGAAAATCGAGCCGGGAGAGTAACGAGTAGAGCTGAAGCGATGTTTTATTTTGTGCGTAAAAATCAGTGGTTGAGCTTTTGATACAAGGACGGATAAAGCCGCGGCTTATACAGTATTAAGAAACAAAGTTAGACGCGTCTTGTACATTGCGATTCTTAAATCGGGTCTTGACGTGAATTTGTGGCTCAAGTGTGCTGGCAATAGGGCAAGTTAGTTCATTCGTTCGCGTGGTAGAAATCCTGGCTTCTGATTGGTCCTTAAAAAGACGTGCTTTACAGTGGCGGATCTAGAACTTCAGGTTGGGGGGGGGGGGCAGTCATCCAGACCGTGAGATAAGGGAGGCTCCGGTCTCCAAAAAAAATTTTTCGGCCCTTCGAGCCTCAGTTTGGTCTAAAAATAAGGGGGGACCCCGGGCTTCTCCCTGGATCCGGCACTACTTTCCAACTTACGTTCACGTCTGATGAGGGCGGAAGCTTAACAGGTGTTCCCCTGGTGTAACTGGCGTTAGCATCTCGTTATCTTATCTTGGACGTTTTGTTTGTTCCATGTAGGTGATGCTGTTATTGCGAACAGCAGAATTCAAACCTTACTGCATCTTCATCAAACCTCCGCCACTGAAGGAACTTCGTACATCTAGACTCACGGTACAGCAGGCCGGAAAAGCTGAAAGGCCTTCAAACAGAACAAACATGAGGACATTCAAGGTACTTAGTCGTTGTTTCAAGTTCACGAAAAGAGCTCTCTAAGAATAAAGCTTTAAGCGAGGTACTATGAGAAAAGTGCATTATCTCACACATCCTTACATATCTCTCCCCTCTCTAGTCAAACATAGCATTTTAAGCAACCACTACGGCCCATGCGACGACAGAGTCAGCTCAGTTAACGTTCATCCTCGATCCCAGTCTTACGCTTCTGACTCCGCGCGTTATGGAAAGAAGATTTCTGGGGTCGAGTGACTGTTTTGAGCTAACTTACGTAATCGCGATTTTTCCAGCCCGTCCAATTGGTGAGGTTGCCTCATAGCCCTTTAGGTCAGAAACAGATTAAGGGTTTGTCTTTTTTTGGGCAAAATCTCATATTTTGGTCTGAAACTCGGTAAAGATTCAGCAAGCTTTACGCACACCTACAACAAAATGTTTAAGCAGCAGCGAGCTATAATGGCCAACAATAAAGATGATGATTCGTTGAATGTAGCAAGAGCCAACCTACGGAGACAACGTGCCGGGTGCTGTAGGATCCAGTCATCAAAATTTTCGTAAACACACTGAACGATGTCGGAGAAACGCTGTCTGCACAGCTTTCAGAATTAAGGCGATGCTAAGATGATGTATCGTTTTCATATAATACAGGAAGAAGATTTGCAGGAAATGCTCAGAGCGTCAAAAGAGCTGGAAGACAATTATGGGAAGTTCTTTGATTTGGCAGTGGTCAATAAAGACACTGAAGAAGCTTATAACAACATCATTGAAGCAGTTGAGGGGCTTGAACGGGAAGAACAATGGGTACCACGAGACTGGGTTCAGTAGACTTGAGCCGCTATTTAAGCAACGCGAAACCGGGATGAAGTGTAGCCTTAGAAAACGGCCGACATTTCACTACACCCTCTCTGGTTTTCCTGCGAAATGGCGCCTGAGAAAAGAGCGCAGATATTGCTGAATATCAGCCTAGTCCCTAGGCGTTCTCGGCTTGGTTAATCCTGGACTCTACCGTGAGCTGTGACGTCACTGAGAGATACACGTTCTCTCGCCCGCTCTTTCTCAGACTTCGCGCGGACAACGGGGCAAGAGAGAGCGCCTAAGGACTAGGCTGGCTGAATATATTACATTCTGATGACGCGTCACTACCCAGATCTGGGTGACGCTTTTGATTGGTTGAAGCAACGCGGTACGACTAATTTCTGCGCTCGTCTCGCAGACGTCATTTCGTGGGAAACCAGTGGTAGCGTCTCGAAATATCCGCTGTTTGCTCAGGCCAGATGAAGTGCCGTCGCCATGTAGAAACCCCGAACAGTCTGTTTAGTATACACAAGCAGCCCCGACCTTGAGCTAAGCAGTTGAAACAGTTTTAGTTTTTTTAAATAGTTATTTGTTAACAAGTATGACAGTACGACCATTAACACTAGAGACGGATTATCCGTTGCGTCAGACACATAACACGTCTTAATTTGAAATTGAAACGGTCTTAATTTTTGATGAACAATCCACTTGACTTTATCCATCTGCTGTTCTGTCAATTTTGACGGATTTTGAAGGTGGATTATCCGTCTCTAGAGTGGAAACAGCCAATAGCAATGCGTATGTTCTGAAAAATGCCAGTTTTGAAAAGAATGCTCTAATGCTCTTGCTATTGCTGCGTTTTGCATCCTTCCAAAATAGATTGGGTCAGGGGGAGAAATGTTCAGGAAGAAAAATATCTTTTTATTTTGCTTTTACAAATCACAAATGCAAATATAAAAATATTATGTGCTAAAGGCCATTACATATTGATTACTTTTTAAATACATCTGAAAGATTGTTATGCAAATAATCAAGTTTACCTTTCAGTATGTGGCACTGAAAATATAAAATTAAAAAATAATAATTTTCATCTGCAACAAAGTAAACAGCATGGCAGTTACTAAAAACTAAAAGTAAATTAACGCTTTTTATTTCTGTTAAGAACATCTGACTGTTTCCAAGAACTATGGCCATAGTACTCTCCCATTAATAAAACCTCTTGGGGATTGACGTAGATTAATAGACGGGGGAGAGGTTGATAAAAAATGTTGAAGGTTGTAATGTACAGTTCAGAAAATATCCACTCCCACGCTTTGAGGGGTCTTTGGAAATTCAGAGTCAGATGTAGGTGGGGGATGGTGGGGGAGAGGGGAAGTCGTAAAACCAAAATTTTTGAAGGAAGTCTAAAGCCACGTTGGAAATTGAATATGGGTGGAATTTGGAGTTGGGGGTTCAAGCCAATGAACCCTCTAAGAGGGAGTACTGATATTTTCTAGAACAACAAAATGGAAATTAAAGCAATACATTGGAATTATAAAAGGTGTGTGGATGGTGGGGTAGGGGTGATGGGATGAGTGTTAAATAAGACAAAGCCTTCATGGGGTACATGGTGGGTGGAGAGAATGGATATTTTCCAGAACAAAACAATGATTAATATAGAGTGCACATCTTTATATCAAAACTAATATGTCCTTGTTATATATCATAAAAGTACTGGTGCATGAACTATTCTCCCTTGGGAGGTAACTTTTTAGTGACACTGAAACAGTAACCAACTTGTTTAGTGCAAATTCCACATTAAGACACTATTGCTTTCCAGTACTGTCAAGCCAATTGCAAGTTAGAATACACTCAAAGTGAAGCTCAAAATGCTGAATGATTCACATTCTAATATTAAATTGGATGCCATCTGACTAATGCAGTGGCTTTAATTAACATCAGTAGCAAGACTGTGTGTATGAATGTTATTCAAAACTTCCCCACTTCAACTGCATTCTCTGCACCACCAGTTGTCAGCAAATCACCAGAATAGTACTTGCTTAGCGCGAGGTCTCCAATAAATGGCAGACTGGGCGTGAGCAGCTTGCTTGTTTCTAAGTCCAAGCTTAAGTCACCGCCTATCTCAAAATCAGTTCCATCAAATCCAAGGGCTTTGTCGCCATCAATGGGGTTTTCTTTAGGATTTTGCTCATACTTGTTGACAGCCAGACGATGTCGCAAGATCCTAAGCTCGTTTGCCAGGATCATTTGCTGAAAATGAGAAGATGAGTTTTCTCCCATACCAGTGCTGACATGTACTACTGGCAGCCATCTTAGATAACGTCCAGTCCAGAACTTTAAACCAGGAGCAAGCGTGTTCACCTTAAGGTAAGAATCTGTGCTTGTTCCATTTGCGATTCCTTCATCCAATGACTTTTGATACACGAACAATGGATTTAGATAAGGCTCTGAATTTCTAGCGTCTTCGAGCTGCTCTGAGACAAAATCCCACAGCGATACCATTGAGTTTCCACCAAGTTCTGTCCCACACAACTCATCTCTCTGTTTCTCACAATCAAACAAGAATGTATCAAACATGCATGCATGCACTGTGTCCAACAGAGCATGAAGGTATGTCTCCGAGAATTCAAATGCAGACGGAAACTGTTGTGTCAATTGATACACGCAATCTATGAAGTGAAGAAAAACAGGGGACTCCACAGATTCTTCTCTCTCAGTCTCCTGGCGTGATTCCCTGATGTGGTTACAGCGCTGGAGGAATTGGTGACCCCCAAGCACCCACATTTTCTGAATAAGGGTTTGGAAACCTCTTATTGTTCGGTAAAATGAGTCTAGAATCAACTGAGCAAGGCTTCCAACAACCAGCACAAAATCCCGACCTCCAGTTTCTTGGATAATTACTGGTGAACGGTCAAGAGAAATGGATTCCACCACATCCATGGCAGCAACAAGTGAAAGTCTTAGGCAGTTCAACCACCTACAAAATAACAATAATGAGAGTGTAAGGCCACTTTTACACTGTATCTATACTCTTCAGCTTCATCTACCCCAATGCTAACAACATTCAAGAAAATGATAAAGGAATAAGCCAAGAATAACATAAAACTGGTAATTTTAACATAAGATAACTTAAATAAGTAAAATAATTATGTATATGTAACAAACAAGCTAAAATGTTTTAATCCTGCCCTATCCCCCTCGCACACAGACCCGCAAAGTTCCCTGTTCCTGTCAGGGGACTGCCAGTTTTGTTAAAAATCTCGCTTAGTTCCCTAAAGGGTGGTGAAGTTTTCACCCTAAATAGACAATTGCCAGGTAAGTACAACAAGTAGGTGGGGATAATTAAGGGATTTCTTTTGGTTCTAGCTTTCTTCTATTTTTCTATAAAAGTAGCCAGGGGAAATATTTGGCCCCTGCCACTTAATGACAGCCCTGCATGACCAATTTTTAAAGGAACCAAATGAATTAACCAACTTCAAGAAAAAAACACTGCCATTCCATACTGACTATTCTCTCAACCTCCATAATGTTAATGAAGTACTACTACATACTGCAGTGGCTGTGTTACTACCATAACTACTTGACTCTACACTGATCTTTTTTGCAAAATCCCCATAATTTCAGTTCCTAAGGGTACGATGGAGTGGAAGACTGGAAGACAATATGTTCTCAGGCCCTAAGTAATGGCGGCATGAGGCTAGATGATCCAGCAGTAACTTAATAACAGCAACTTATTCATTACAACATACCTTGATGCATCCAAGCTTGTCAGCCAAGTAGAATCCATGCTCCAAAATTCTTTACTTGTTTCTAACATGCAGAGTTCCTTAACCTTAAGAAAGCTCTGCTGTAGCTCTTTTATTGTTGGACAAGTCTTTGTTAAGTTCACGACCTTCACCTCTTTGTGCTCTGTGTTGCATGGAATCAGGGACAGTGCTCTGAAGAAAGACGTTTCCTCTTTCTCCAAGAATATGCTCTCTGGTCTAAAAAGACAAGTTGGTGAGAAAACCAGGAAGGGCTTAAAATGGCCGCTTATTGAAGGTAGTGGCTTACAAGAATTGAGCCACCAGGGGTCTCTTCTAAGAAGGGGTCCAGTCTGAGTCCAGACTCATCTACTTTATGGAAGATAATTAAGACAGAATCCACCAGGAAATTGAGTAAATTTTCAGTTGACAAAAACCTTGTACCAGAATAATTTAAAGCATATTCCATTTTTTTTTACATTTTTCAAGGGCTAAGGATGCAATGAATGTCAAATTTCCCAAAATTACATCTTACACATGAAATTTTCAGAATTTTACCCATGTTTTCACATTTCTTGTGAAATTTGATATTCATTATTCGGACTCCCACGAGAAATTTTCTTTGGTGTTATTACAGATGACTGATTACATCTTCAGCCCTTGAAAAATGTAAAAAAGAATGCAATATGCTTTAAATTATTCTTGGACAAGGTTTTTGTCCACTGAAAGTAAAAATTACTCAGTTTCCTGGTGGATTTCATCTTAACTGCATGGAATTTCTATGCAAAATAATACAATACATGTAGTTCCACGTGGTCAATAAAGCAGCACAGTACATACAGCAAACATAGCTATAGAGTTCAGACCATACATCAAGTGGTCGCTTGCAAGAGGTTAAAAACAATGGAAAATTATAAAACTTTCATCCTCAAAATGTGGTCCCATAAAGGCCTTGGACCATTACAGGAGCTAATTGTTTACTAAGGGTTCCAACCGTAAGGCCATCGACTAAGAAATGTTTGGTGTTTTGTCTATTAAGTGGTCACTTATGAAAGGTGGGCACTTGAGAGGTGGTAACACATGGAGGTTCAACGGTTACTCTGGTCACTTCGTTCCATGGTCAGATTGTTCCATTTGCTTATATTGTTCCAAAATATAGTCAGAATCAGTCAGAGTCTTAAGGCCATGAGCAAAAACAAGAGCGCTACTCATGTGTAAACTTTGTTCTTTAAGCTATAAGCCAAAAAAGCACACTTCACAGCGAGTTTTACACTAAAACTGTGGAATGATCTGACCATAAAATGCATTTAAATGCAATTAAAAGGAGTTAACAACTAAAAGCGCCTTAAGTGCCTGAGGTCAGCTGTCTTTGGCATGCACATGCCCAGTAGCTGGCAACTTCTATCATGCGATTCATTGGCGCGTTCAGTTTTCCTTTGTGCTGGGTTCTGTCAGCCATTTTCTTCCCCTCCCCCCCTCCCCCTAAGCTTTGTTGGTTTTTTCTCCACTGATGTTTTGAGTGTGACAGGTGCCTGTTCCTTTCCTTGCCTGTGGGGGCTCATAGCTGGGTTGCACTGTTGTGCCAGTCATTGGGCATTATTTCAGTCTAGGGTCTGGCTGCCAATAGTGGAAGCCCCTGGATACTCCAGGCACCCAACCTCCATTTTAGCAATGCAGTTGTTTAATGGAACGATCTAACCGTGGAACGATTAGCGACTGTAAAACGTATTATTTTAACCTACCTCCCAGCCCCACCGCACAGTATAGGTATTCCTGTCTTGGGATGACTCCAGCACCAGATGGGCAGACGTGAATCTACATAATGCAGTGACATCCTGTTAATGTCTGAATCTGATAATGATGAAAGAACAACAAACATCTCAGACAGTGATGGACAAGTTTGGAATTTGCTGTTGACGGTTGCTACTCTCCAAGTGTCATCAACTTGAAGTCTTGACAGCTCGTTTAACCAATCAGGCAGATTTCTAAAAGTTGGTATGGTATCCTGCCTTCCCTTGCCATTTTCATTCTCCGCCATGCTATAAGGGAATGCAAACAGTAGAACAATGGAGCTTGGAGCCTTGTAATGGGCAATAGCATTCACCATTTTCACGTGTTCTTTCTTGGGTGTAAATTTCAAGCCAAACCTGACCACTCGAAAATCCTTGCAACGTATTTCCAGTGAATGGACTTTGGATGCCATTCTGGAACCTGGATGAACCTTTTTGACTTTGGAACCATCAGCAGTAGAGCTTGAGTAGTAAAAGATATCTGTGATACAAGTCTGAGGGATGTGAAGTTCCCTTTGTATGTCCGAGTATATCTCTCCTGCTTGCGACAAGTCGGGGTTGGACTGGAATACTGAATTGAGTTGGGATTCAGCATTTGGGTTCCTTGTCAAGAACGACATGCGGAAGTTAGTTGCATATAACACTCCGGATATTCCCGATTTTCGGTTTGCCATTGTCTGGAAACGCAACACATTGACGGCTCTAGCAACTACTATTTCCCCTGGTAAAAGGGATGGCTGTGGGTACCCATCATCAGATAGTGGAGATAAACTGCTTAAAGCTGCCATTTTCTTTAACACTTCTTTCTGAAAAAAAAGGAAAGATGAGTCAAGTGATAAAGCATGTTTAACGACTGAGAGTCAGAGGACAGCTGTGTTTGGCACATGTTTAATTTGCAATGATATGTTCCAAACTTTACTGCCATATGCATTCTTTGATCTCGCCACACAATCAAGTGCTCAGTTATATTTGAACATTCTGCATCCAGGACCAAGTCAATAAATTCTTCTTTTTGTTCGCTTGTTTGCTAATTGATAAAGCAGAGCACCCGCTTTAGTTTGGTCGACTAAAGGTAAACATCAGCTTCAATTTATTAGAATCTCGATCAATCTGCACATACCTGCAATTATTCATGATCATCACATGCACTTTTTAAATTGCATGTTTTGGTACATACAAAACTGAAATTTATTGTCTTCCATTTTCTGAATTACAACGAGACTGACTGTAGCAGAATTCAGCTGTTTAAACCACACTTTGCAATCTCAATTCAAAATAATAACATAGTTCAAAAAGACGGACTGAAATATTAGCATGCACGATCTAATTTAGAACAGGTGACAAAAAATCAGAACATTTGGACGGCCGTAAAGGGGCCATTACATTTTCAAAGCCTTCTGAAGTCAAAAGGTCGTGAAAGAGGAGTTAACGACTTTTTTCGTCATACACTCACATGCACTTAGCTTTACAGAAGTGTTTAGAGGAATGTGCCTAAACAATTCATTTGACTGATCTCATGCATGCATGCAATGGACACAGTAGTTACTCATGTCGAGCTTGCTGAAGTGTACTCAATACTTAAAAATCCGATCAACGTTATGATTTTGATTGTCAAAAAGTCGTGAGTATACATTACTTCAAAAATATAGTGCCTTCCATTAACCTTTTTAGGAACAGATGGAAGAGCTATATATTGTTATCAATCCAATTTAGGGTGTGGGAAAAGGGGACAACTATGCACAATATCGTTTTCTTCAGCTGAGAGTAAAGCACGGGATATCCATATGTAGAGAACGAAATTCTATTTGAAAGGAATTTGTTTACGTTCTTGTGTTCTTTTTTGCATCCCCAAGGAGATTATTAAGAAAAACAAGAAAATGCCTTCCCATCAAAGAAAGAACTGTAACTCTAGATCAGACGAAAACAATCTTGAGCTCACCTATATTCACCAGATTCGATATTATTCCTTGATAAAGTTGAGCTCATCTGTCCACCCAATTTCTAGAATTCCTCAACACTCCCCGCGCACATCATCGATCTCTTTCGACTGGAAGAGAGGGCGATCCTAGTATGCATTGTTCTATCTTTACAGGAATGTTTTTAGCCTGTTAGATGGATGATCGTGGAGACCTCTTATCATAAACAAGAAATAAAATACCTCTCCATTTGCACTAGCGTGCACGTTGAAGATGAAGATGAAAGCTCGCCCCGAAGGATCTGGAGCCCTGCAATCCTTTGGGGGGTAGTGAGGAATTGTTTACCAAAACAACAGATTGATATATGATGAAAGTTTCTACCAATTGCGCTTTCGCTTGGAAGAATAAAACTTAAAACTTATAGCTTGATTGCTGTAATTCTAAAACTTAATCAAATATACTTTGTTAGGTAATAGAAAGCGCTCTTTATGATCTCTACCCTCCGGGTACCAAACGATTTTGCGTTTTGTTCCTTACCACGTGACCACTCTTTTTCTGTCGTTTGATTGGCATGATTGGAGGCGTCCATCCTTGCATTCGCTTCTCTTGAAAGTTCGAAACTTCTTGCAAAAGTTGAGGCTGTAGTCTTTCAAGGATGGTGGTAGCGACAGAATCCGAACAGGAACAAAACTCTCAAGGTACTAACAGATATCTTTAGGATGAAATGTTCCAAATATTTTAAGCGATATGGAGTGGAACGCGCAGCGTTCAGTGTGAGATCATTTCTCAAGTTTGATTTGCACTTTTGAATTGCATAAATTCACGTCCCATTTAAAAAATCGTCGCTATTTAACGATTTTATTGCGTATAATTGCAGACCTACAAGCACTGAATGTTCTTCTTCAGGCCTAAATTTTAACAGTTTCCCATGTCACGTTCTGGTGTGCAGTTGCTTTTGATTTTTTCCAACCTCGCTTGAAATCTACGAACCGAGATTGTTTTTTCATTCCCGCCTTTTATTTTCTATGCAAACTCATTTATGGCACTGGGATCAGCTATGATGTGGGTCACTTTGTGTTAGAAAATTGCAAATCAGAATGCACGACAAATGCGTTATTTTTACCTTTTCGCGATTTGGCCGTTGTATTGGTAATATATTTGAACATTTCATCATGATTGTATAGCTTTCTCTAGAAATAAGTAAGCTTACAGATTTTCGCGTGCTTCATTAGACGAAGTGGGCGCAATTGGTGAAGGTCAGTTTTGACTGATCGGTGTAGTAGGCTTCTGGCCGACAAAATCTGTTGGAGAGTGTTTTATAAACTAAATATTTTTGACATATTTTCCTAACATGAGATTTCAATAATACTAAACAGAATATTGATGAACTGCTAACTAGTACGATTTCAAGCTCAAATGAACTTGAGCTTCGTATTCTTCTCATTAACTTAAATGAAATAGAATCAGTGTGGGAATTAATTGGCCAATACTTGTTTAACTTTGATAGGAATAAAAACTGTTTCCTGTTTATACTTGCATTTATCTTTTGCTTCCTTTAATTTGCAAGTCAGGCCACACATACAGTATACACAAACCTCACTCCCGGAAATGTGAAGTGTCATTTTATGGTATCTCAAATTTGAGATTAAACCAAACTGTGTTATATTTATGATGGTTCAGTTTAATACCCTTAGCCATCTATATTATTAATATTGGGATCTTCACAAGGGAAGTCCTTTTTAAGCTTTGTCTGTTGTCCTTGAAGAAGGTCGTACAAACCCATTTAACACTTCCTTGTGATATGCATAGGAGGTGGGGCTGCAAACCCTTGGGCTCTAGGGATTTCCTCTGTGTTTGTCGCAGTATTCCTCCCTGACTGGAGAGGCATTGGGGTAACGTTAATTTGTAGAATTTCCATTTTGGACATCTTTTAAACAGTATTTCTTCGGCTTGTTTTGTTAGAATATTGAGCATCAGCCTTTTTCGTACCACCATAGCCCTTGCGCATGATTTACGGGGACATTGGCATAACATAAATCTGTAACTTTTCCATTTTTGACATCTGTTAAGTTTTATACAGTATTTCTCTGGCCTGTTTTGTTAGAATATCAACCCTCATCCGTTTTTTGTACTACTATAGCCACTGCACATGATTAAGTTTTATACATAATACTCAGGCCTGTAGGAGTAGGGGGGCCAAGTAGGCCCGTGCCCCCCCACTTTTTGGGCAAAAATTTTAAAAAAAGAAGACTACCACTTTACCATCAAAAATACTGAGTTAATAACACAAGGCAATTCCCCTTTTGATTTAAAAAAATTTGTTGTCAGGGCTAATTTTTTTTTTGTGTCTCTCACTTTCAAATTTGTTCCTACGGGCCTGATACTGCAACTAAATTTTGTTATTAAAAAATATATGTCATTGTTCTACAGCAGTTGAAACTGTGTTGAAGTCTTTGGATGATCCACGGACTGCTGGGTTGATTCTTGAAGAACAAGCAAATGCTTTAAAGAGTATCCTAGGCGATGCTTCTGTTCTGAAACTTGTCAGGGTAAGACCTCCATATATTTATTTATTTATTTATGAGACTGATTTAGCAACAGAACGGGAACGTCAGTTGAGGACGTCATGTGCAAATTAAACAACTGGCTTGACCAATGGCAGAGCAGCAAATTGGCCACCGGAAGTCATGTTCAGTCCTTTCCGCGTGCTTTCCCATGGTCAACTGACGTTCCCGTCCTGTTGCTAAATCAGCCTACTGCATGCGACAAGAGGAGCCCACTCTTCTAATCTCTAGCTTGCGATTAGGCATACATGGCACTTATGTCGCCAGCTTCATTTGGACTTCCACTATGTGCGTTTGGACCCTCTATCATTCATAATCTGATCACGCATGTTTGTGAAACTCACGCAAAGCACAGCATTTGACCTTCAATCGTTGTCGCCAGCACTCTTTAGAAACCTTTGGTTATTACTAGTTTATGATTTTATTTTTGTCAGGCGTTAAAAACTACAGCTATTCTGTTACTGTACACATCGGGGCTTGTAAAAAGCTTGAATTCCAACAGCTCTTACATTTTCCTTGCCCAGGGCCATTGCTTGTTTACCTTAGCTAATGATTTATTGGATGAATTTAGGTTTCTAGAAAACTGCCCACCTAACCCTCCCCTAAGCCAACATTTTGCCCTAATCGAGAAGTAAGAGATAATGTTGGCTTAAGGGAGGGGTAGGTGGGCAGTTTCCCAGAAACCTTAATTGATCTGATTTATTTACCATGGATCTTTGCCCATTGGGCAAGCAAGGTAAAAAGGCTACTTGCCCAAAGAGGAAAACCTACTTGTCCCGTATGACTGACAGTACTTTTTCCAAGCCCTGCACATGTTGATGCATATACAGCTATTTCGAGAAAGGTTGTCGGGAAAAGTGCACGTAACAATACCAAAAGCAATTGTGGGTGGTTTTGAGTTCACTAATTTTCAAAGAAATTTGAAAGAATGGCATGAGAGGCCACGGGCATATGTCTGCTAGTGCTAAAAGAAAGTAACAAAAGTAGCTTCAACAGCTACAGTGTCGGAAACTGTGTAATGATCATATCCTATATAACCTTTCAGGATTGTCGCATGCACATTTTTTTTCTGACAACCTTTCTCAAAATAGCTGTATGCGTGTATACATACTGTTCAGTTTTGTAGGCATAACAGGTACTATCCAATAAACACTGTCCTATTAATGCTGAAAGCCAGGGCTGCTATTTAGCCAAGTCGAATGGAGAATTCATTAACATGAAAAGCTGTTTGTTAACTTATAGTGGACAAGCTGGTATTTAAGGGTTTTTTTAAGCCCTGGAAGTGGTGGGTGAACAAGGGAGGGGAGAGGTGAGGCACATCTTTGTGGTAGGATCTTGTTTAGGTGGATTTGCTTATTTAAGATTTTTGATTATATTTTATTGATTAGGCTCATGACAAGCTGGAAGAAGGTCGCCAACAAGTTGAGACGCAGGATTCAGTGCAGTTGTCAAAAGAGGTGAGATTTCTGGAATGAAGAAACCACTGTATAGCCATGCATGAGGCAAAATTATTTTGTAGAGCCCAAAATATGGCAAATCTTGGTGTTGCAGATTGAATACACACTTGACAATGCCTATACCACATCATGCATTCTTCAGTTTTAAGTCCTGAACAAATAAAAGATTTGATGATGTTTCTTTAATGGCAATTTTCCTTCCCTTGGGATGATCTGTATCAGGGATTACGAACCAACATCACACTGATCATGCTGCATCAAAGGAACACCTCTAAATCCCATTTGGAGAAAGATTCATGGGTATCTTTGATGTCCCTTGATCTTGGAACATTCTAGCCTGCTAGTCTCAATTTATGGCGAGTGAAGCGAGTTGCGAGAGACTGTTCAGTTTGGATCTCAACCCTGCCCCTCGCACTTGCAACTTCCCCAAATGGAGAGCTGGCTTGCAGGCTAGGATCATACATGTACATGTAAATCCAGATCCCGATCATCCCAAAGGAATATGCCCTAGGTCTCTTTGATTTTGATGCATAAAGAGAAAGGGAGGGGCTGTTTAGATTTTGTCCTTTGGGATGTTTCTGCCTCGTTCACCCTTCCTAGTTATCTACAGTGCTTTCAATTAGTACAGGCAGCCAACTAAAAGCATTGGATTCTTTACTCAGCAAGGTTGGCTGCTTTTTTTTCTTGACAGAAGTGATTATACAAAGATTTTCTCGATCTATTTGATACTGTTACAAACTTAAAATTTTGTTGAAAGCCCTGCTGTTACCTTTGAATACCTGTTGGACATAAGCCCTGTCACTCCTGACTGTGACCAAAGACAAAATTCAACAAAATTTCCTTGTGAAATTAGATTTGTATTGCTGAGTAGGTTTCATTTGAATATTTCATCCTTATACTCAAAAGTCAGACCCATCTTTTCAAGACTTCATCATTAACTCTTCAATTGAGAGGGTTTTACAATGTACAGTAGACAGGACATTATCTTCAGACAGTTTGAAAAGTGATCCACAACGTTTTATTCTGAATTACAGGTGACCATTGACCTTGAACCAGAAGTTGCTGGTAATGATAGTGCAGCTGAGCTGTCAGGCCTTCTTCAGGATCCACATTTTTTGGTATTTTTTGTACTTTACACACAATCATATCCTTATTCTATGACTCATGAACATGAAGTCCCTGTCATTGATACATGTAGCTCAACTAGTCATTTCCACATTCTGTAATGTTGTAAATAGAACAACTCCATTCATACTACTAGCCCATCCCCC